GGCAACATCTGCCTCTTGTGTAGTGTTTGTACCTTTGCTCTGAGCACAGGTGGCAAGGATGCTGGGCCCAGAGTCCGGGCAGCAGACGTCCCGCGTGGGAAAGGTGGGGAGTAGGGCCTGGGTCTCCTGTGTCCAGGCTTCTGGGTGTCTGCTTCCTCTCAGACCAGGGGCCTGAGACCCTAGAACCCCCTGCAGGCGAGAGGTCTGGGCGGCCAGGCACAGTCTGGACAGAGGGGAGTGACTGCAGACACAGCCAAAGCCACAGGGGGCCAGGCGGGGCCTGAGGGGCTGACCCTGAGGTAGACAGGAACAGTGAGGGGGGCATGTGGTCTGGGCTTGAGGCCCAGCTGGCCCTGTCACGCCCTCCCTGTCCCCTGGGACTGGTTTCCTTCCTCAGGCCGTCACTGCCCGCCACTCTCCGCCTGTCCCAATTCACGTCCTTCAGAAGCCCCTGGGGCCGGACTTTAACCCTAAACTCCTCAGAAGGTCCTTACGTGCTGAGAAAAAGTACTTTTCTTCCCTGAATTGAGAGTTTAAAGCCCGTGCCCATGGCCAACCAGCATGAGAGGCCATAGGACCACGTGCTCATTTAATAGTATTTAAATACATAGAAAACAGTGGGGGACTCACCTCTGCAGAGCGCCCCCCCGCCCACGCTCTCCCCGACGCTGGGAAGGTGGAGTGGGGAGGCCAGCGGGACCCACAGGAAGTTCCCTGCGAGGTGAGGGCAGCGGGGGGCTGGGAGTCAGGCCACCAGCCACCAACTGCCCCGTCCTGCCCTGACCCCACCAGCTTTCGACCAGATCGGCGGGTATGAGCAGCTGGCAGCCGCCTACGCCCAGGCCATACCATCCAAGACGGTTGCCAACACGACCTGCCACCTGCCGCGTGCGGATGCCATGCACATGTTCCGAGACCCCCACACGGCCGACCTCCCGTGGACCGGGATGACCTTCGGGCTGACCATCATGGCCACCTGGTACTGGTGCACCGACCAGGTGAGTGTCCGCATCGTCGCCTGCGGCCTTCCTGCCTTCCAGGGTGGGCTGCAGGTCCGGCGCCCACCTGCCCGTCCCGGTGCAGCCCCAGGAACACCCTACGGCCTGGGCTTCGGTGAGGCCGGGACGACCGGGCTAGGGGTCCTTGTGGTCCCGAGGGGCCTGCACCCTCCGCCTGGAATCGGAGGCCCACTGGCCGCTGCCTGGCCGGGCCTTGAGGTGCTTCGACTGGGACAGTTTGGAGTACGGGATCCCCAGGGGACTGGGACGCGCGTCGGGGGCCAGCCGCGGGCTCCCGGGGTCGGGCAGGGTGTGGGGCGCGAGGCTCCCCTTGGCCTGCCAGTAGTGGGGACCCACTCTCCTGGCAGAGCTCTGGGCGCCCTCGGCAGCGGGGCAGTACGGCGGGGGTCCCGGGGTCCTCAAGGGCCGTGGGAAGCCATCTTTATCCCCCGTCTCCAAGGCAGAGGGTCCCCGATGGTGGTCCTGGGGGGAGAGAAAAGACAGGTGACATCTGAGGAGCACCCACCTCCGCGGGCTGCCAGCGGCTGCAGCCGCACGCTCGCAGCTGGTGGCCTGACGGCTGGTTCCTAACTTGGTGCCTCAGCGCCCAGGTGTCCTGTGGCAATAACCGCCTTTCGTGGCTGTGATACGCCAAGTGCGGCTCCTCGCTGTCCCTGCCCCGCCTCCGCCCGCCTGCCGGAGGTCCTGTGCGCAGGGCGGCCCTGGGAGCCTGCCTCCAGTCCTCTCCGAGAGGTGCCGGCGCCAGGTGACCTCACAGCCTCCACCCCTCTGGGTGGCAGGCCCTGGGCGGCGGCGGCACCGGCACCGGCGGGGAAAGTCGTCGAGAGGCAGCAGCGCCTTGGCCGGCACAAACCCGGGGCCGTGCCCCTGCACCGAGCCCGAGGGCTCCGTCCTGGGAGTGAGGCGCCAGCCCCAGGGCCAGCCCAGCATCTCTGTGGGCCGGTGGGGACACCTCCCCTTGCAGGAGGTTCTGTGAGCCCCATTCCCAGGCTGGACCACTGAGGCCCAGAGGGCAGGACCGGGGCTGCACCCACAGGGAGGGGTTTCCCTAGGGCCAGGGCTGCCATCCAGCGAGGGGCTGCGAGGGGCTCTCCCCCACCAGCAGCAGGTGCTCAGTGTGTCTGCTGACAGACCTCCCGGGGCCGTGACAGTGGGAAGCGACCCATGTGGGCGTCCGAGGAGCACTGCTTTCACCGCAGGGTCCGTCTGGCTCTCCTGGGAGGGCCGAGGGCATGCTGGGGGAGTGAGGGCTGGCCATGGAGGGCATACGGCTGAGCTGGGTGGTGCCCCTGTACCCCGGGCACCTCTCGTTTCCTCCCCACTCAGCACAGGCCTGGCGCAGTGCTGGCACGTCTGGGCGGGATATCACTCAGGAGATTTCTCATGGAGGCAGGGCTGGCCTCGAGGTCAGGGCTGAATGGGCCCGTCTGGAAAGAGGGCAACATGGGGAGGCTGGGGCGGGACGCCACCGGCATTGGTGGCCCGCAGCCTGGCCTCAGCCTTACCTCCCATCCTCCTCCTGCCTACGCTGGGCCTGCAGGAGGCAGCCAGGCCGTGGTCCAGAGCACCCACAAGGCAGAGACGGGTCCACTGGGTCCCACCCGTCTGGACCTCCTGGGCCTGCTCTGCTGTGACCCACACGAGCACCTGTGGACTCCCCAGGACATCTGGAGGGCTAACTCCACTCAGTCCCAGGCCAGGACGCCCCTTCGAGATGCCCAGTCTGGTCAAGCGCCAGGTGGCAGCTCTGTGCTGGGACCAAGGGTACTTCTCATTCTCTCCTTTAGACTTTTTTCACTGTCTCCTAGCTCAGTGGTCGGCAAACTGCGGCTCGCGAGCCACATGTGGCTCTTTGGCCCCTTGAGTGTGGCTCTTCCACAAAATACCGACTTCTGCGCATGGGCCACGAAGTTTCAATCGCACTGTACGTGCGCGCCCGCACGTGGCATTTTGTGGAAGAGCCACACTCAAGGGGCCAAAGAGCCGCATGTGGCTCGCGAGCTGCAGTTTGCCGACCACTGTCCTAGCTCATCCACAAGGCACAGGCTGCACTCTTGTAATTAGAAACAAGCAGAACCAGTCACACAGGAGGCCTGACGGCCCCCGAGCCTCAGCCTCCACCTGCAGGCGGCCGAGCGCAGCGACATGCCACCCGCCGTGCCAGGGCTTGTGTCATCACAGGGCACCAGTGGGTAGGGTCTACAGAGCCTCCTCATTGTCCAGACAGGGAAACTGAGGCTCAGCGTGAGGCAAGGAAGTGTCCCCAAGTCACCGGAAGCTGGTGGGGAAGCAGGACTGATATCAGCTTGCCCCGAGTCCCCGGCACCCTGCGCCTCATGCCATCGAGAGCCGTGCACGGAAGGCGCTGCTGGGCGCTGCCCGTTCAATTGGCCTGTGCTTGCAACAGCTAAAGCCTCAGATAATTCCTGCTTCTCCATTGCTGGTAGGGATTTACAATGCAGACAGCAAAGGGAAAATACTTATATTTAAAAGCCATAGGTGCGCCCTGGCTGGTTTGGCTCAGGGGATAGAGCGCCGGCCTGTGGACTGAAGGGTCCCAGGTTCGATTCCAGTCAAGGGCACATGCCTGGGTTGTGGGCTCGATCCCCAGTAGGGGGCGTGCAGGAGGCAGCCGATCAATGATTCTCTCTCATCATTGATGTTTCTCTTTCTCCCTCTCGCTCTCCCTTCCTCTCTGAAACCAATAAAAATACATTAAAAAAAAAAAAAGTCACAGGTGCACAGTGCTGTGAACATACGAAAAAGCACTGACATGTACACTGTGGCTGAACCAGAGGAGAATTATAGCTCGGTAAAGCTGTTTTTAAGGAGAGTGGATTTTTTAAAGAAGTAGACTCGTAATGTCAGAGTCGGGAGGGATCTCAGATGCCATCAGTTCCATGAGCCCTTCCTCCTCCCATTCTGCAGACCTGGAAACTGAGGCTCAGCCAGGATCTGCCCAAGGCTACCTGACGATGCCTCAGGCAGACCTAGAACTGGAAGCTTCCCCCAACCACAGGTCTGAGAGCTCCCGACCTCTGCCAGTGACACAAAGCACATGCATGAATATGCCAGCCCCTCCTGTGAGGGTACAGGAGCTGGGGGAGTCCCCTGGTACCATCCTACCAGGGCCCCTCCAGCCCTGCCAACTGCTGGGAGGCAGGCTGGGCAGGACCCACTTTCCCTGCTCAACAGATGGGGAGACTGAGTCCCTGGAATGAGTACCTTGGCCCCAGTCGCTTGGCCAATCAGGATGAGCTCTGCTTCTGGGGGAGCCGTCAGGTATCAGGCTTGGGCGTTGGTTGTCTCAGGTGGGTCTGGCACTAGTGGGACTGCACCCCAGGCCTCTCCCTGGGGCTCCCCCGGATATGTCCTGCCCCTGGGACTCACTGCCTCCCTGTGCCCCCAGGTCATCGTGCAGCGGTCGCTGTCTGCCCGGGACTTGAACCACGCCAAGGCAGGCTCCATCCTGGCCAGCTACCTCAAGATGCTGCCCATGGGCCTGATCATCATGCCAGGCATGATCAGCCGTGCACTGTTCCCAGGTAGGGCCGGGGCTGCGGAGGTACCAGGAAGAGGCCAAGGATGAATATGAGCTGTTTCCTGGGTGGGGTGGGGGCAGGGAGGAGAGTGGTTCCCAGGACCGCAATCAAAGGGATCCACACGGAGGGGCTTGACACAAGGCCCCTGGAGGACCACTTGCTGTGTGCCTGGGGGATGCCACTGACTTCCTGTAGCACACGGGTGCGAAACACGGTGGGTTCCACTCAGCGCCAGTGCTGCAGAGGCTGCCTTGAGGGGAGACTGGGGCCGAAGGTCTCTAGCATCGTCATGCGCCTGTGCCTGCGCCTGCGTGCATGGTTCCGGGGTGGGGTGCCTACCCACTCCCTACCCCGTTCATCAGGGAGCCCAGCGGAGGCCGCTCTGGCTGCTCAGGCCCAGGGAAGGGGCTCCCAGACCCGCTGCAGAGACCTGACCCACCTGTGCGTTCTTGTCCACGGAGCGAAAGGCCTGCATCTTCCGCAGAGAGCCCGCTTCTTCTCTCTCCCGACCCTGGGCCCACGGTGAACCACACAGGGGCTCCCCAAAGGTCCCGCGGGTGATGTGGGGGGCGCTCAGCTGTCGGCGAGGGGGCTGGGCCGGCCCATTGGCTTCTTGCTCTGAGTGGCGCCTCCGGAGAGGGGGTGGGTGTCCCCTCACCTCGAAATACTCATCCGACACAGAAGAGGAAGCCACTGAGGGCCGCCGCAGGCCACGGCCAAGGCCAGAGCTGCCTGAGAGGCTGTCCTGGTCGCTGAGGGTTATGTAGTCATCGTCATCTTCCTCGTCCTCCTGGTCCAGGCCATTGGGGATCCCCCCGCCCTCACCGCCAGGGTCACCCTGGGCCACAGACAGCTGCCGCCGGGGCGGGGCAGGGCCTGGGCCTGGGGCCGGGGTCCTGGGCAGCCTGTGGTCTGTTCTGTTCTGCAGCACCTCCTCTTCCGGGCTTTCTGGGGCCCAGCCAGCACCACCGCCATCCTGGGCAAGCACGTCTGCCACAGGGACTGTCCGGGGCTTGGGCACAGGGGGCTCTGGCTTGGGGTCCCCCTGGGGGAGGCCGTTCCTGGCTGGGAGACCGTCTTGGGGTGTGCTGGGCTCCGGAGCGGGGCTGCAGTCCTGGCTCTGCCTCCACAGCTGGGCGCCGCCCTGGGAGGTATCTCGGATCTTGATGCGGTTGATCTGGCTGGGCTGGGGGTTCCAGATGTTGGGGTCGATGATGTTGATGTAGCCCAGGATGTCGCTGCCCGGCTCCGGGTCCGGCTCCACCCACGTGGGCAGGTATTCGAACATGTTGGCCCGCTCCAGGTGGAGCAGCCCCGGGTGCACGGGCAGGGGTGGCTCCGGGAGGTCCCCCGGCTGCTCGGCCAGCCCTGGGCCGCGCAGCCCCGGTGGCCTCTGGCCCTCCTGCTTCTCCGAGGAGACCTTGGCGATCTCCTCGGCGCTCTTGGCCTTGACCAGCGCGTACTTAGGGTTGACGAGCTTCTTGGCCACAGCGCCCGAGGGCGCCAGGGGGACCACAGCGGGCAGCACGACGGGCTCGGGCTCGGGCTCCTTCTCCATGGGGATGCCCTTGAGGCTGACGCCGTGCGAGGTGAGGTACAGCTCCTGGAACTGCCGGTCGAACGTCTCCACCACTTGGCCCGACAGCACGGAGATCACGTTGCGGTCCGTCCGGGCGGCGGACCAGGTGAAGCTGCAACACAGGGCGGCTGCCGGTCAGCACGGGCCGCGCCCCGGCCGAGCCCCCACGCGGGCGTCCGCGCCCCCAGGCACCCCCCAGGCCGAGGGGCCCTGGGCAGGACCGATAAGTGAGGGGACAGAGGACGGGGCACAGCCTCGGGGTCAGACCTGCCACCAAGCCCTCTCCCACCTGCACTCCTCTGGGGTTACAGCACCCCAAACGCCACGCCCGGTGCCCAGAGCAGCCCTGGACACCTGGTGTCATTCTGAGTGGCCGTGGGCGGCGCCACCCTGCTGCCCCTGCTGGTGGGGCTGGCAGAGCGGGGCCACGCATGTCCCATCTTGGCCACACCCCCCACCTCCAGGCTGGTGACACCTCTAGGCTGGAGCAAGTCTCAGACAAAAGCCCTCCTCTGCCTCTTCGGGAGAGCTGGGTGGTGTGCGGGCACGCCCTAGCCCAGCTCACACCTCAGCAGTTTGGGGGCCAATGAACCGGAATAACCAAGGTGTCATAAGGCAGGATTAAGGGCAGAAACTAGCTGGGACCCACAGCCACCTCTTCCCCACCCCAGAAAGCCAGAAGTCACCTGTAGGAGCCACAGACGGCCCGGTCTCCATCCACGAACATGAACTTCTGGGCCAGGACGCCCTTGAACTTGGTAGCTGACCTTGTGAAGAACTCTGTTCCCCCGCTGCTCCGCACCCTGAGATTCTGGGGGCGACAGGAGACAGAATGACATGACCACAGCACTGACCACGCAGAGGGAGGCCCAGCAATCCCTGCCTGGGCTTCGGGGGCTGTGGAGGAGCTGGGACGGGGAGGCTGAGGCTGGGAAAGGAGCTGGTGTGGGACGGCAGCGTGGAGCCAGGGCGGGAAGAGCTGGGATGTGAGTGGGGCAGGAGGGTGGGGCATGGCCTGCAGGTGTCAGAGAGCACGCCCAGGCAGGACAAGACCTGCAGACCTGCAGCCTGCAGCCGGCGTGGGGAATGCTGCTCTGGTGGGGGCGGGGCCAATGCGGGGTCTGGAGAGGAGATGTGGGCACACTTCAGGAAGGTCCCCATGGCGGCACAGCGGGGCGGGGGGACCTGCCCTATGGGGCCTGGCTCTGGTGCTCGGCCGAGCTGTGGCCTTCCCAGGCCGGCGGCGGGCGGCCTCTCCCGGGGCCTCTCACATGCTGTCTCTGTTGCCCTGATGCCCGCTCACCCAGGGCGCACTGCCTGTACCCAGGAGCAGCTCTGCACATGGTTCAGTCCCACTCCTCACCGGCCGGCACTGTCTGGCTCAGGAGCAAGCCAGAGGGGCCCTGAGAGGCGGTGGGGGGAGGGGGGCAAGGGGGGAAGGGGAGACCCAGACGAAGGAGGGGGGTCCCCAGGAGTCACGAGCAGTGCCTCCCGTCCAAGTCCACGACCAGGCCACTCCTGCCCATCTCTGGACTCTGGCCATGAAGGCCCCTCCCCGTGGAGTCTGTGGCTCCGCCCACAGCCTCTGGGTGTGACGGGCTCAGACCCCTGGGCACTGCACACCCATGCGGGCTCCAATCCTCCCCGCGGCGGCGGCGGCTCTATCTGAGGGGGCAGCTGTGAAAAGCCAGTGGTGGGCCTGGCAGACCCGGAGGGCAGATGAGCCGGCTGAGAACCAGAGTTGAGGGAAGGGCGGGGCGGGGGGGGGGGCGCCTGGAAGGAGACCTGGGCTCCTCTGGGCAAGCACCCCAGGGTGGCGTATTGGAGACACCGGCCTGGGTCCCCTGGGTCCCCGGAGCGTTGACGCAGGAGGCTGTGGTCAGGCTGGGAATTTCCTAGTTCACACAAGCCCTAGTGAGTCCAACACCCGCCCAGGCAGGTCTGCGTGGCCGCGAGGCAGGTCCCTCCTGAGGGGCTCCGTGCCAGCTGCGGGCGCTGGGCTGTCACACCTCCTGCGACTCCTGTCACCCTCACCCCTGCACTGGCCTCAGCTCAGTGACTGCCCACCGTTGGCACTCACCAACCCCCGCCAAGGTCCCAGCTGCCAACAGAACAGACTGTGACGAGGACCCCGCAGGGCAGGGCAGGGCAGAGCTTGAGCTGTGAGGGGCTGCAGGCCGGCGTGTGAAGGGCGGGAAGAAGGGCAGGGGCAGGGGCAGGGCTGGCATTCCAGACAGGAGCGCAGGCTGGTGACAAGTCTGTTTAAGACACACGAGGACTTCAGGGGCAGCGGTGGGCACCGGAGCCTGCGAGTGGGCTCAGCTGGTGCTGGTGGCAGGCCCTACACCTGCCAAAGCACCCGACTCCGCCTGCGGGAGTCGCGAAGTTGGAGCTGGCACCCAGCAGAGGCCGCATGGCATGAACCGAGAGCCGGAGGCTGAGGGCAAGGAGGGGCTGTGGGCAGGGGAGGTGGGCCTGCGTCGGGGCAAGGGCAACAGAGAAGGGATGGGTCTGAGACTGGAGTTTGCCCTCCGCCCCGCCCTCAGCCTCTGGGGGACTCGTCTCAAACCCCTCTGCTTGGGTCAAGGGGCAGGCCCCGTGGACGCCCACCTGGCCAGGCACGAACAGCCGTCTTGTTGTTGGGCCCAACCCAGAAGGCAGATAAGTTCCGTGCCCAGGGCCTGTTCCCTCTGCCCCAGGCCGCCCGTCGCAGGCAGCCAGCTCAGCCGGAAGCTGGCCGCAGCCCAGGACAATTAGCGCTTGTGACTTTGTACCCAACACAGGGCACGCTCAGGACCAGAAATCGGGAGCAAAGATCCTGGAGGCGGTACAAGGCCGCCCTTGTCACCTGTGCCCAACCACAGCCAGCTCCACGGCTCCTGTGGGCTCCGCGCCCAGCGCTCTGGCGCCAGGGCCTCAGCCCCTCCTCCCAGGAAGGCCAGCCACTGCCTCGATGCCCCTCAGTGTCTGCCCCACCCACCCCACTTGTGTGGATGGAGGGCTCGGCTCAGCGCCTGCATCTCCGAGCGGCTCGGCTCCGTGCGAGAGGCACCAGATTTGCTGTGTGACTCTAATGAGGTCTCTGGCCCTCTCTGGGCCTCGGTTTCCCTACCTGCATGCTGGGGACAGGCCTCGCATCTCAGGCCCATTAGCCTGGGGCTCAGTGGCAGGCGGGGCCTCGCGGCAGCGGCCACTCCCCCTCCCCGGCCTCATATCAGCTCCGAGGCCTGCTTCCTGGGCGGGCCCACCCCATGGGGCCTGGCCCACATGAGGTAATGTCTCAGGAGTCAGGGCTTGGGGGAGCAGCGGAGGCTCCCACAAAGCTGCATTGTCTCTGAGCCATGACATCCCTGCTCAGGACACAGCGGCCAGGGGGAGGCCAGGGGGGCCACTGGGCTGGCCCGAGCGGGTGCCCCGGGCAAGTCCTCGGACTCTGAGGAGCCTGTGTCCTCAGACCCGAAAGGGGGCAGCGATGGGTCCCTGAGGGGATGTCAGGGGAGGGTGGCCGGGCACACAGCACCTGTCCCCAGGGAGCTCTGCCCCAAGCATGTGTGGGGCAGGGTGGGGTGGGCACTAGCGATGGGGCAAACCCTGCCCCACACCCCATCGTGACCCCTGTTCTCATCCAGAGATGGGACTTGACCGGGTACCAAGTCCGCCCGAGACCAGGCCCGGGCTGTGGGAGGCAGAGGGGACAAGCGCAGGCCCCTCAAGCAGGGTGGGTCTGGGGTATTCTTCAGCTCCGGTCAAACAGGGCTCCAGTCCTGGCTCCAACCAAAGAGTTGGCATCTCCACACCTCAGTCTTCTCATCTGTGAGATGGGCCTCCCCACCCTGATGCTGCAGGGCTGCTGTGAGGCCTGAATGAAGCCACACGCATGCAGGTGGGCCCGGAAGGTGCCTGGCGCTCCGTGGGTGCCCCACACGTGCAAGGTGACAGGTGGCTGTGACTGCGCCTGCCTGGGTGTGATCCCTCCCACTGAGCGGAGGGGGCGGGGACAGGTGGGGTCCGACACCGAGGAGCAGAAAGTATCTGGAATGACATAGACGCGGGTCCGGGGAAGCCAGCACTGTCAGCTGTCCGTGACGGCCAGGCGGCTCAGAGGAGGGACTCACCACAGCGCCCCAGTGGCATCCACCCCCGGACTGAGGACAGCCCCCAGCTGTACCGTAGGGACTTCTGCCCACACTCTGAAAGGGCCTGCTGGCATCTCCTGGGCCTGAGGACGAGTGGGGAGGCCCACGGGAGTGCAGTGACCAGGCCTGGCAGTGGCAGCAATTAGGCCAGATGTGTGGGGCAGAGGAGGGCGTGTCCCCGTGTGCTGGGTGCCTGGCCAGCATCCACTCTCTTCTTTTTTAAAATTATATATTATTGACTTTCAGAGAGAGGAAGGGAGCGGAATGGGGAGATAAAAACACCAGCCGCCTCATGCACGCCCCCTACTGGGGACAGAGCTCCAAACCTGGACACGTGCCCTGACCATGACCTGCTGGTTCACGGCCACGCTCAGCCACTGGGCCTCCCTGCCGGGCCTCCACTCTCTTCTAAAGGGTCTGTTTCACTCTGCAATGGGGGGGAGGGGGAGGGGAAGGGCAGGGCACACCCTGGCCTCCCTGGCCGTCTGACCTGGGATGGAGCACCTTTGTGCACCACCATTGGGGATGGGGAGCGGACAGCGCCGGGCCAGCCCAGATCCTCCCCTCGGCAGGCTGCTCAGCTCAGCTGCGGACACTCTGGGCAGGGGATTCTCTGTTGTGGGGCTGTCCTGGCATCGCAGGGCACTGAACAACGCCATGCCTTTACCGCCAGGCGCCAGCCGTGCTCCAGTCGTGACCATTAACAATGGCTCCAGGCACTGCCAATGTCCCACGCCAGGCAAACAAACCCCTCTGTCTGAGAAGCACCGAATACGTTACACACCCCGAATCCATCACAGACCCAGGCCAGGGTCCGAGCAGCGAGGCGGGAGGGAGGGAGCGGGCACCAGTGGAACCTGTGCTGCTCATCCGACCGAGCGCCTTCCCACAGCCTCCGTGGCTGGGATGTCTTTGTTCATCAGAAATGGGTCCAGCCTTTGCCCAGGCAGCGACTGGTTTTTCCCGTCTGGCTGCACACAGCCGACAGCTTTCAGATCAGCCAGGCACCCCAAGCCCCCGTCCCCAGCTCTGAGCCTCGAGGCCCAGCCTGGCTCCCACTCGCTCTGGGACATCCCTTGGCACCCAGTCTCACCCCCAAAAGTGGTTTGGCCACTTGGCCTGGTCCTGGGAGGGGGGAGGGCTGGGTCTTCTTCAGAAGGCCTGTTGCCCATTTGTAATCTGGGGCGTCATTCCCACACTCTCCACCTGGGGGGCCGTCAGGGGCCGTGGCTGGGGCCGGGAAGGCTGAGAACCTCATCCGTGGGGAAGTGCTAGTGTACGTCCTCCTGCTGCACCTGAAAACCAGAACAACCGTTTCCAGAATGTGCTGGTGGGGCTCAAAGCTCAGGAGGCAGGTGGGAGCACTGCCTGGAGCAGGCGCGTGAGGTGGTTCCAGCCCACGACGGCTCCGAGGGGAAGGGAGCCCCTAGGCACTCAGACCTGAGCTGAGTGTCCTGGGAGGCGTGGTGCCTGTCCCCAGCCAAAGGCAGACTGCGTGTCCTGCCCACACGGCCTCCTTCCTCTTCACAGCAGCCCTGCCAAGGACATGGCCATATTCCCATTTTTCGGACAATGAGACTGACGTCCAGAGAGATTCAGTGTCTCTGCCCACGGTTTCAGTGCAGGTGGCAGAGCTGGGGCTCAGGCCTGGTTCCCCCAGACTGGCACCCGACAGGGCCACGGTCACCAGGATGACCCGCCATGCGCCTCCTGTGCCCTGGGCCTGGAGGATCTGGGGGCAGGTCGAAGCACAGCTGGCCGAGGACGGCGGGCGGCCGAGGGCGAGCCCGGGATTACTGGCAAAGGAAGTGCTCCCAAGACAGGTCCGGGCCCAGCCAGCCCGCGGGCAGGGAGGTGGGCCGTGTGGGCAGGCCCTAGACAAGGTGACACTTGGCCAGGGCTGGGCCCACGGAGCCTCTAGCCGCCCGCCCAGGCTGTAGAGGGGGCGGCTCAGAGGCCAACGTCCTCCATTCCTTCCCATGAAGGCACCCAGCTCTGAGCACAGCACCCTGCAGACCCTGCCACCTTCCCTAGTGCCAGGCGGTGGTGAGGGGGTGGGCAGGCCCAGGACCCAGGGCGAGCTGCCGCTGCTGCGCCCCAGCTGTAGCTTTGTTTTCAAGCCGGGCGGGGGTGGAGGCCTGTGGTTGATGATGTCCTGTGACTGCCAGTCCTGCACAGCGCCCCCCTCCACCCCACTCACAGAGCACTTACAGCCCTGACTTCATCCTCAAACAACGCTATGAGGCGCCATCACAGTCGAGAGGCGCTGGGACTCAGGGAGGTGGAACCATGTCCTAAGGAGGCCGCTCTGGCAGGGACGTCGGGCACCAAGGGTCTGTGCTCCCTCCTGTCCAGGCTGAGTTCTCACTACTGGCTTTTAGGTTCAGCCCAACTTGCAGGAATACAGGCCTCAGTTTCCCCATCGGTCCTGTGGGAGCCTAGCATAGACAGCCTCAAGGCCCCTCTGGCTCACGCACTCCAGGTCCCACAAGGCTGTGGAGCTGCAGCGGATCCTAAGGCCCCACTGCACTGGGGAGCGAAGGACGGGACCGGTGGGTGGGAGCTGTGGACCCCGCGGGCGTGTTCTCAGCCCAGCCCCCCTCGCCTCCCACGCCCCCCACGACCGGGAGCTCAGACACTTCGGATACTCCGGGGAGACCAGAGAGTGGGGTGTCCCTGAGAAGAGGTGTGGGCGCTGGATGGGGCGAGGCCTCTGGGGCAGCCAGCCCCAGGTCTGGGTCCCCGCTCAGCACGGACAAGTGCTCCGGCCTCATCCACACCTGGGAATGCACGGGCTGGGGGAGGCGGCTGTGAGGAGCACCCACTGGCTCGTGGAGGGGCCCGGCGTGGGGGCCTGTCAGGGGAGGGGCTGGGGAGCGAGCCCCGAGGGTCTCTGATCTGCTGGCCACAGGGCCAGGGCCTCTACAGCGCCTCTCAGAGACGCCTGTTCCACGCCCTGGACTCACTGTGAGCTGTCTGCCCCGGACCCGACCCTCAGTGCTAATTACACGGCAGGGAGTGTGGCGAGTGAGCGTGGGGCTTGGGGTCAGCCCACTAAACAGCCCACATTAAAATGTCCCAGCAGCTGGAGCCTCGCCCCTGGGGGAAGCTCGCAGCCACTTGAAAAGGCTCAGTGGGATCGGGGGCAGACCTGACAAAAGCCGACAAATTACAGGACAGGTGCCAGCCCCTTGTGACCCAGCCTGGCGCCTCCCCTCCTCCTGGGAGTCTGTTCAGATCGCAGGCCTAAAGCCCGAGGACTCCTGACCCGTCGGAGGCTGTTCTCAGCCAAGGGCTCTGGTGCTGCCCCCTCTTCTCTAACTTTCTAGCCATGAGTGACACCCCGGCAAGCGCCTCCATTTCCTCATCTGTAAAATGGGATCGACTGGCTGACCTGTACTCTCTGGGGAGTGTGCTGCACACATAGGTGCCAGGTGGTGTCAGGGTGAAAGGAGGGCAGGGTACCAAACGCCAGGTGTCCGTGCCGAAGAGGCCAGCCACACTGGCCCACACCCCCTCCGTCGGGCCAGTGCGATCCTGGGCCCAGAGGGGAGGTAATGTGCTTACGGACACACAGCAAGCAGCGCTCAGAGCCCAGGCCCACCACGACCCCTCTTCTCTGCCCGACGACATCCCCCTCTCAGGCCCTTTCCACGCTGCCCTCCTTCCTCAAGTCCACTCTAACTCCGCAGCTACGGAGGCCTTCCCTGACCTCGCCCAGGAGCCTCCTGTCAGAGCCAGATCCCAAAGCCTGTGGTGGACGTTACAGAGCCAGAGCGTGGCTCACACTCAGGAAGCCTCTGGGAGTCAGATCTCAGATGAGGCGTGAGCTGCTGGGGTCGGGGTCTGAGCACGCGTCACCGGAGGCGTGTAAGCAGACAGGTCACCAGCGTGGCACGGGCTACTAAGAAAAACCACGAGGGGTGGCCCTTGTGTGGCTCTGGCACCTGGCCACGGGCCCTTCGTCAATGTCTGCCGGATCTCTGCCTGTTGGAGGTAGTTAGCGCCCTGCCCCTCGGCCCGCAGCGGAGGCCAGGCGACCCGGCAGGAGGCTCGGGGTTGCCGAACTCCGTGCCGGCACAGCCCCGTCCACAGAAAGCAGGTGCAGTGTCTGTTGAGGGACGCGTCGGTCACTCGGGACCGGCCAGCTCACCTTGAGGTGGCCCAGGTGCATGTGGGCCCGCTCGCACATGTGCAGGAAGTACTTGACGTTGCTCTCGTCCAGGATGATGTACACGGCCACCTTCCTTTTGAAGCCGGCATCCAGCAGGTCCTTAAAGATGTCCACGTCGGTGAACATGTCCATGACCACGGCCACCACCTGGGACAGGAGAGACGGCTGTCAGGCAGGACGACAGTGCGGACGGGTGCCTCGCAAGACAAACAACCCGCCCGTGCCTGCCACCTCTCTGGGCCACTCCAGCTCTGCTCCCCACACCTCAGGACGGGGACTGGGACGTGACGAGCTGGCCCCGAGATTCTAGGCTCAGTATCTCAATAGGTGGCACAGACTGGACTCCGAGACCGCAGGGAGGAGAGGAGAAGTCCACTCAGCGTGCCTGCTGCCTCCCTAACGTGAGACCCCGAGCTCAGTGACCAGGCGGGGGTGGGAGGTGAGGGAGGCGTGCGCTGCACAAGGAGCGGGAGGGGGCAGCTTCAGAGGCCTTGCAGTCAGAAAGGAGCTGCGTCCTGAGGCCTCCTTCCTGCGGGTGCCAGGGTTCCCCGGGCCTGTTTCAGTCCGATCGAGGTGGCAGGTCACACCACTGCCCTCCACCTGCCACCCCAGGTACTGAGATGAACCCCAGGCGTCAACAGCCAGGAGGCAGGGCAGCAGCTGGCACAGGCTCACCGAGGTCGCCCCGTAGCCCAGGGGGGTGAGGTCTGGCAGGCTCCCTTGCCGCCCACACCAGCACGGGGCTCTTCCTGTCCTCTGACGACCTCTGCCCACACAGCTGACCTCCACCTGCCTGGCCCTGACTCCAGGTAGAGCCCCAGAGGTCAAGGTGCACCTCCCCCCCCCCCCCCCCAGCCCAGCCAGAGTCCAATGGACACGCCCAAGGCCTGAGGTGAGAGAGGCGCAGGGAAAGGCCGGGCGACGTGGACAAGCCACTGCCTCAGGGTGGCTGCCAGCCTGGTGGGCGCAGTGCCGCTTGCTGAGTCAGCCCCTGGGCTCTCTGGCAGCCCGAGGCCTGCACATGGGAAAGCTGGGGCAAGAGACTCAGCTAGCACCCAGGGCCCCCCACAGTCCTTCTCCTCAAGGGAGCACAGCTACTTCCAGACCCTGTGCCAAGGGTTGACAGTGCCCCTGTTCAGTCCCAGCCTCTGGGCTGTGGCCGCAGCAATTCCCATCTTACAGATGAGGAAACTGAGGCACCAAGGGGTGCATCCCTTGCCTGGTTCTCTATCTGGGAGGCCCAGACTCTGCCTGCGACAGTGTGAGCTCATCGAGGGCAGAGCCCCTGGCTGGGCCCAGCTTGGGGCGTGGACTAGGGCCCTCCGGGAGCTTTGTCAACTGAGAATGGGAGCTCATGGCTTGGGTTGCAGGAATGAGGGTAGCCAGGGACAAGCCCAGCCCCTCCCGAGCCCTGTCTGCCATCCACCAGTGGGGTGTGGGCCTGGCTCTCGGTCTCTCCAGCTCACACACCAAGGCGTGAGCACAAAGCTGCCGGCCCTGCCTCGAGGCGAACGCCGGCCACTCCTGTAGCCCCAGCCCCAGCCTCCCCCCCCCCCCCCCCCCCAGGCCCTGGGCGAGGCCAGGCCAAAGCCTCCAAGACAGAGGGGAGGTGGAGTCTGGAGACGCCGCTGCCCGAGGTCTGTCAGGGGACCGCGCAGCGCGAGGGGCAGGCGCCTGTGAACTGGCTGTGTCCCCGTGAGCACTGGTTCCAGAAGGGGCGGCAGGCACATGTGTGTTCCATACGCGAGGCGCCGTGGACACCCTGCAAACTGCACAGCCGAAGCCGGACGGAGGGGGGAGCCCGGGGTCCCTGGGTCTCACTGCCAGGGAAGATGCAGCCACAGAGCAGGGAGGGGCCCAACACCACGAAGACCATCGGTCCCCAGCCCCAGGGCGCAGAAGGGTGGGCTGACGTCTGGCGGGGGGATGGCTGTGCCAGGACTGATATGGAGGGGCACGGGCAGGGACTGGGTCAGTGCTGGGCTCGAGTGCGTCCTGTACCCAAATCCCTGCCCACGTCTGGGGGCTGCATTGTGGGCAAGCCCCCAAAGTGCGCTCCTCCGGCAGCTCCACGCCTCCCTTTCCCCTCAGCATCCAACAGAGCTGCCTCCCGCCTCCCGCCTCCCGGGTCCGAATCCCCCACCCCTTTCCACATGGCTGGGACTGCGCCCCGGTCTCCTCTAATGACCCCATCAATCTGCTGTCGGTTTCAGAGTCCCCAAAATGCCCTTGGGGTGGGTGACCATCCACCTCCACTAGAGACATGCTGACACTGTGGCCAGAGGAGAGGGGACCCCCAGTCCCACCTCAAGCCGGTAGGGGGTGGACAGGGTACCTGGCCCAGGCCCCGGTGCCCACCACAGGCACCTCCATCACCCAGGTGGTTACTGGAGGAGGTGGGTGGGACCCTCCACCTGAGGCCGCCGCCTCAACAGCCAAGGCCTCGGGTCTTTGACACCTGTGCTGGCCCTGACGGACTGACGGCAGGGCACAGGGCACTGGAGTGCACCCCTCCTCCCGGGCCCCTACTAGCAGTCTGAGCGCCCGGGCAAGGGCAGGGCAGGACCAGGGCTGGAGCTCCGGGCTTGGTCCCGGTATGGCATTGGGTGCGCCGTGTCCCTCTCTGGTCTGTCTCATCTATAAAATGGGGAAGGTTGATGTGCCACCCAAGGCCATCCCTGCCAGGGCATTCCCGACTCCCTGTGCCCTTCCTGGGCAGCAGCATGGGCTCTAGACTGTCCTTCTGGGAAGATACGCGACCTCAGGCAAGTGCCTTGGTTCCTGCATAAGGTGAGGACAAGGCAGTGAACGGTGCCAGTGCACAGCCGCTTCCGGCCTCCTCCTCGTCACAGCCACCTGAGACTCTTCCTCCAGACCCACGGCCTCCAGGTGGCCCGGCGGGAACCGTCCCCTGCCGATTCACACGGACCAGGGACCGTTCGCGTCCCTTCAGCCAGGGGCAGGCCCCTAACACGCAGGGTCTGCAGGGCAGTCCCCAAAGGGTGCTGCTGCCTGAGGAGTGGGCACGCGAGCCCCAGAGCCTCTGTAAAGGCCAGACAGCAAATATGTCAGCCTCTACCAGTCACGTGGTCTCTGACACAACCACTCAGCTCTGCCGGTGCCGCAGGAAGTGGCCGAGGGCCACTCAGAGCAAATGTGTCTGTCTGTGCTCACGGGGCAGCGAGCCTTTCCACTGTCCACGCGGCATTTAACCTGGGAAGGTGCCTGAGCCTGGGGTCACCGGGACCCCACAAAGGAGGTGGCGTAGCCCACCCAGGCCAGGCCCGCTGGCTGTGCCCTGCACTCGGCAGCCTGTGGGCACTCACGGCTGTTACTGCCTCAGGACAAGTGCCCAGTTCCCACTGTACGAGCTGAAGAAACTGAGGCCCAAGGTCATGTAGCCAGGACGTGGCTGAGCTGGGCAGGTGAGCCAGGGGCCTCTGAGAAGACCAGGCAGGAGGCCAGGCTTGATCCAACGCCTACCCTGGACTAACCCTGCTGGTTCCACCCAGGACAGCTTAGCAGCCAGCCTCAAAAGCACTGAATTGTCTCCAAGCAACTTCACTGCATCCCAGAACGAAGCTCCAAGATACTTAAAGGAAAAAAATCAAACTTCAGCCCCCCCCAGCAAAAAAATGCTATCCAATAAGAAATACCAGACACACAAATAAACAGGAAAATAATGATCCTTGGGAGGAAAAAAAAAAAATCTATCAAAACTACCCCAGAATGGATACAGATGTTAGAACTGGCAGCTACGGACATGAAAGCACTGATAACAAACAGTATTCTAAATGTTAAAAAGTTACTTAAGACAGGGAAGATAGTTTAAAAACACCAAACTGAACCTCAAGAGGTGAAACAGTTCAATATTTAAGATGAAAAATACATGGGATGGGATTAAGAGCAGATTAGACACTATAGAGAAAAGACAGTGAACTTGAAGACATGTCAATAAAATTATCCAAAATGACACACAGAGAAGGAGATGGAAAAACGGGGTCAGGGCTCCAGTGAGCTGTGGGCGTAACTGAAGTCACAGAGGTGCCCAGGCAGAGGGTGGGGTGGGGGGCGAGACAGAAAGACATTGAAAAATAATGGCCATAACTTTCCACATTGATGAGAACTACGCGTTCACGCCTTTAGGAAGTTCAGTGAATTCCAAGCAGAAGAGACGTAAAGACATGACACCAAGGCATATCATAACCACATCACCTAAAGCCAGCGACAAGGAGACAATCTTAAAAACAGCTGAGGGGGCAGGACCATGACACAACAGGAACAAGGCAAGCAGGTTTCTTTTAGAACTGACGCAAGCCAGAGGACACCAGCAGCAGCTCCACGGTCCCAAATGGGAAACTGTTAGCCTGGCTGCCACGCCCGGTAAGAACAGCTTCCAGACCGAAGGTGAAGCGAGGACCTTTCCTAGACGGAGGGGCCCACTCGCACGGGCTCTGAGACAGACAGGAGCTGCTGCTGTCCTGCCCGACCGACCGCCTCCAGCAGGGGGCGGGGGCAGACCCGGGCGTGACCTGCTCTCCTCCCCTGGTGCCTGCGGATAAATGAGACGCTGTCTGAAAGGCCAGGAAGGTTCTCCAAGCACGGAGGATGCTTCCTGGGAGCCCCTGGCCCCCTGTGGGCAGCCCCCACGCCTGGTGCTCCCCAAACCAGTCTGCACATCCTCTGGCTCTAAAGGTCTGGCCCTGAGCTGGTGTGGGGCAGGGGAGTCGTTGTCAGCCTCTCTAGGGGCGTCCTGTGTGGATTCCAGTTGTGCCGCCACCCACTGCCTCCCAGAGCCACCTTGGGTCCTGAAATAAACCCCTGACCTTGAGCCACCCAGAGGGCAATGCCTAGGGCCTCTCCCCTCCAACGTTTACCAGCTCTGGCACCTCCCCCCGTTTCTGGAAGATGAAGACAGAAGCCTCGCTGGGAACAATTAAAGAAGGCTCGGGCCTCCTGAGCACCAAAGGGCCGAAGCAGGATGAGGTCAAGAAGCCATACTAGTCCCGCCCAGAGCCCTCTGACCAGGAGGCCTGCCCTGGGGCTCCAGCCTTCCCCACAGACACACCAGCTCCTCACCGGGCTCAGGACTGCGCTGGCAGAGCCTGGGAAAGGCCATCGGGGGGCCAGGCTGTGCCCTGTGGACC